AATAATAAAAATCTAAATAAAATCTGATGTTTCATCTCCAAAACATAAAGCCACAACATTATTGCACATGTGTGCTCATGTGTCAAACAACGCTATACAATTGTGTATATATCATAAATATATACACAATGCTTTTTTCTGAATACTATTGTCATGTTTAGCACAGAAGAAACTGTAAAAATAGTGTTTTCCAAGGACAGCACAAAACAGAAAAGCGAATTTAAAAAAAATGCCACGGCTTTCCTATTGGTGTAAAAGTGAATCACGTTTTAAATTTGTTTAAGTGAGATTATGTAAGAAAAATCAAGTGTTACTCTGCTTGCCCTTCTTTTGCTTCTCTGCAGCGGTGGTCCTCAGCCCGACTGTGATTGAAGGTGTTAACGGACATGTGGCTCCTGCCATCTTCGTAGTTTGCTCTGGCCCTCTCATTTGACCTGTCAAAGCAGTTTTGGTCTGGCTTCCTTTTACTCGCCAAGATGGAATTCTGTGTCCTGTAGCCACTGGTTGAGCAAGATGAACCTGTAGAATAATGGTATTTCTTCTGGTCATGATCTGACCTTTCATGTTGGTACGGTATTTTTCTGCTCATGTCTTTCCAATCAGTACTTTTTTCTTTTTTCTTTTTTTAAAGATCTGGGTCACTCGTATCCTTTTTATCTTCTTCCAGATGTTTTCTTTTAAAGTGTGATTTGATTGGAAATATTGGAAATGTGTGAGCAGTTTTACAGTGACTGGGCCTGATGAAGTTCAGGCTGCTCCTCTGAGAAGAAGGGTGGAGGCCAAGGGTGGGAGTTCTGTTGGGCAGGCTGTCTGGTGTCAGAGGTGGGCTGGTGCAGAGACCCACACCCTTCTGTCCCGCTATCTGACATCCCTGTCTTCTTTTTTTTTTTAAAGCTGTTAATGTGCTCATAGCAGGACTTAACACGGCAGATAATGAATCATGCCATATGTTAAATTACTCATTTAAATGATAAAAACATTTTCACATAAAGCAAAGTAATATGTAATAAAATAAAAGACCAGATTATTTTTTATAACCTTATTACTATTAGAGTTCAACAAACATCAGGAGATCACACATTTCTGCGGTTTTATCTGCATAATCCTGAGGCTCGGTGGGGTGGATCTAAAGGGTGATCTGAAAGCAACACAGCACAGCTAAAGAGACTTTGTTTTTTGCCCACTATATGGTCAAAAAGTATACTTACATGTAAGAGGTCATCCAGAGATTTATTCATCTTTTCTCCACGAACTGAATACCAGACTCTTGGAAATACAGTTCAGATGTCTGAAAAGACAGTCTGAAATTTTCTTTGGGGGTTGTCCTTGAGTCTCCATCATGTATCTCAGCTGAGAGTACAGCAGAACATGTAATCAAACAAGGAGTCCCGCACAGATGTTTAACTGACATGCATCATGTTATCAATCTTTTCTATTAAGCTTGAAATCAAATTCTTCAGAAGAAATAAAAAGCATTCTTGTATTGCTTTACTTACCATGGCATACTCACTGTACCCAGGGTACAGCAAGGAACCAGTGTACAGACTCAGCCACGCAGCCCAGGGACCATACATCTATGGCTTTTGTAGATGGAAGCCCCAGAATAATCTCCGGAGACCTGATGGACGACAAACAGAAATGATTGTCACATTTTTTGTTTATGTTGACCATTTGGATAAGCATTATTTATACTACAGCTGAGAAACCCCTAACAGAAATCACAAACACTGGAGTTTGTGTGACTGTGTGAGGAAGAGATTCAATTTGATTCCAGCTACTTACCAGTACGGACAGGTCTGAATGTAAGAGCCCCACTTTGGCAGCTGAGGTGTCATAGGCCAGGTCAAAGTCAATAATTTTATTCAGTACGGCTCTTGGTGATATTTCACCAACATTACATTTTATAATTTCAGGTCTGCGTGTATTGTTCCAAGAGACTTGAGGTGATTAAGCACTATTCCTGTCTGAGAGGTATCAAAGAATATGTCATGTTACGATTCAAATTTGATCAGTAT